ACATTTTGTTGCTTTTGAAGTGTATGCTTTTGACGACCACCCTTAATCTGTTAATTACCTTCAAAGTAAAAGCAAAATGGCATAATAACAGCTGAATAATGGAGAATTGTTGTCAGGTGTGTTCATGTAACACTATCACATTGAATTTTTAGGGTGCTGGCACCATGTGCTTCAGTACTTTCTTCTGTGAAGACCCACTTGCTAACCCCACCATGCACTAGAAAGATCATTTAATATGTGGGGACACAGGTGATTATTATGACCAAATGAACAGGTAAATTTTTGTTTTTTGATAGTGAAAATTTCTGTATCTCTAAAAATTCTAAATAAAATGAAATTTTAATTCCATTCTCTTGATATTGCATTCAAACAAGTTTATAAGAATTTGATTTATATTTTGAAAAAAAGTGTGTGTGACAAATGTAGTGAGAGCGATATTATAATCACGATGTTTTAACTTTTATCACTGTATCACTTGAATACATTTTTTTTGGTAAATTGTGTTTTGACATGACCCCCGATTGCTGTCAGACGATGTGCATTGTAAAATACAAGTTATTTTCTTCGCTATTTAAGACTTTAATGCTGATATGATGTTGAACTAATTGTTATCTATAGTTTCCTATATTGTTTACGTGATCGCATAATTAAAACGGTGTTTATTTAGCTATTATTCGGTAAATATTGTTACCTGGTATGTTTTCGTCGCATGGTTGTTATTCCGGAAGTGCGATTTCCCATAATGCATTATTTTTAAGAAATATGTGAAAAGTTGTAAGCGGCGATTTATTTAATTAATTGTATGTCAATATTTTTTTAATTATTTCGAAATTTACTTTGTTAATAAAGTAGTTATAACATTTTACTTGTTTCTATTTTCTGGTGAAACGTGCACACTTTTTCGTTGCCGTGGGAATTGGGATATCACGTATCGCCTGTGATTGGTTGATGATCAGGTGCGCAATGTTTCTGATTGGTGAACGTATTTTACGTCATTTCGTAGTTTTTAATGACGTATCTATAGTAAGAACGCAGAGTTGCTGCGTTTGAACAGTAGGCTACACCACTGTATCAAGGTGTGTGTTTAATTTAGTTCTTTAGGTTAGTAGTTTGATAATATTAAGTGGTGTGGGGGAAAACTTTATTCAGAGATTGAATAATATTTATTTACCAGTATATTACTGGTTTAGATTTTCAAGTTTACTGGTTTATTACCAGTTTGGGATTATACTTAGGATTACCAGGATTTTTATTAGGTCTAAGAGAGTTAGACTTGCAAATGAATTGTTATTACTGGATAAGACTCCAGTTATAGAGGTTTTTATTAATTCATGAAACACCAGAGATTTTGTGAATATTGAACAGTATTGTTTTGTTTCTGTTTCCTGTGAAATAAATTTATAAACTTTTAATGGAGTTCTTGACTTCTTGAAAACAGTCCAGTTAGGGCATCCGCAGGTTACAGTGTGATGCACATGATATTTAAGATATTTATGATGCATGATTATACATATAAACACACTAATTAAGCACACAATATTTATTCAAATTTATGCTCAGAAAGGGAGTAAGCTGTCTTTTATAGACTGCTGTGGTATTTCTATAATTTCTATTTTTCTCATTTTTCAGTCACTTTGGAATTATCATGTACATGTATACATTGGTGGTCAAACTATATTCTCTGGTGGGCTATTTATCAACACTCCCATATACACGAACAGCCTTGCCCCAGGAATTTTGCCCTGAAGTAACAGTTTTCATTGTGTCCTTTTTCTAAACAACCCTGACAGCCAGGTATGCTATATCTTTTAGTTCAATAATTCAACCATGATGGTTTACTACTAGGTTGATGATTTTTTTTTTAATCCTGATACATTGACTAAACCAAATCATTTAACTACATGAATCACATAATTAAATATACTTTTAAAAGGAAACTTATTTCGATGTATTACCGGCAATTGTAGCATTCTCAATTTTATATATGTAAATTCACATAATCTGTTCCAAATATTTAAATCTTTTACAGGATAGAAGCTGATTACATGCACTTGACAAAAAATGATCATGTCTTGGACAAGTCAAAGAAGATCCCCCAGTCTTTCAGAAAAATAAAAGTTGATGAAAGAATGATGGCCACTAAGTAAAAGTGCTCTGGTCTTCAACATTTTGTGAAAGATTAAATCAGTCTGATTTAGAGTTCAGCTTGCAATATTTCTGGATTTGTATATTTGGATAAAAACATCACACTTTCAACTTATTGACTAAACAGTTTTGTGTTAAATATTGCCAATGCAATCTATAATAAATTTTTCCTTCAAAGATGACATGTCAAGTCTTTATTGTACCCCTTAAGGCACTGTTACTAGAAAAATCTTGTAATGAAATCAATTAGTTTATTTTATCTTGTTAAATTCAAAAGTCTGGAGAAAAAATCCATGAAAATAAAGTTTTTTTTTAATGGCATCAAGAGAATGGATTTGTTTTTGTTTAACAAAAAGATTGTATACATGTTGTAGTTACTGTTATGTAATTTTAACATCACTGTTCAGCCAGATCTTTTTGCTAAATTTAAAACCTTTGTTAGCCACATCTTTCAGGAAATGTATAGGACCTGTGGGTCTGTCGATTTAATTTGCTAGTAAATCATAAATTGGAACAAAGTTGCACTGATGGAAAGTACTTTTTTTTTTAAAAAATTACTTGATATTATGGTTGTGCATTTTTTTTTTTTTTTTTTTTTTTTTTGAATTAGAACACAAGAAACCCTGCTTGCAAATTGTACTTCAAATTTTTGACAATCTCTTTTTTTTAATTACTTGTTTTGTCAATTTATTATTGCCTTAGAAGACCAAGTGAAATGTTTCTCATCAACAAACATAGCTAGTGAAAGCCTTCTTCACCAGTGAAGGGATTTGCTATTCTTTTCACAAACCCTTTGTCTATCTTGCTATCAAAAGTCAGGATTTTTTTCACAAATTGTGATTGGAGTTTATGGACATCATTTGACCAAGTGCTATAGTAAATGGCGATATCTTCATTCAGGATATTTCTTGACTCTCTAGTCTCGGTAATAAAACCCTTGTAAACAATGATTCATAAGATAACATTCAATTCTTGAAATTGCTATGGCATATCATCCAACGTGAAGATTATGTGCACATAATGTAATCTGGAGCCTATATTGCAGATAAAGACTTGCAAACTTACTAACAAATAAACTTATCTGCTTGTTAATTATTTTTTAGATACTTCACTTTTCTATAAATGCTCTTTTATTTCTTTGAATGATGCAAGCTGTGATTCGAGATCAGGTGACATAAACAATCCTGACTTTTGATAGCATGATATGCTAAGGGTTTGTGAGAAGAGTAGCAGACCAGAATTCTTTGCTTGTAAAGATGAGCAAATGCATATCACATAAATAAGATGAATGAAAGGATTGTAATGCAAAAGCCACTTATTTGAAAAAGAGATTCCAAGTTCCATTCATCGTCCATCTCATGAGGTTTCTTCATGCTTATCAAATGACAAAAAATTTTTAACAGGTAACTCAGTAAAGACAGGACATTTGTTAAAAATTGGATTCCTTTTTTACCATATTATTTTAATATGTGTGTCACTAAGGTTGAATTGCATGCAATCACATCTTACGAATTTTATTTCAGTTCAAAAGTTTTAGATGGATTTTTGGAATGGCAACCAAGATATTCAAAATAAAAAAGATTAATTCATTTTTGAAAATTGTTCTCAGGATTTTTATTTTTATTATTATTTTTTTTTTTTGTTCACAATTTTTACGACAACTATTAAATGATATATCCGTAGTGATTGCAGCATTTCAAAATTGATATACACTTGCAATTTAAGGCAGAATTCTGTACTGATATGACCTTGACCCCTCTAAGAACAGATGTGCCAAGGTCAATACTTAATTCAATAATGTTCTGTACATTATTTTGGCCCATATCTTACTTACAATATGGAATACACAAAAGTGCCTAGAATTAGCAATAACAAACATACAATTTATACAGCCAAAAAATTGAAAATATTGTTGCTTTGCAACCACTTAAAGTCATTTAACAAAAATTTGAACTAAAATGGTGTATGAATACAGGTACATGGATTGCAGTTCTGATGCCTTCTTGAGAGTATATTCAGAATTTTCTATTTCAGCATCCATTGTGTAAAATTTTAGCAACAATATTGAAAAGCCTAACTGTTGAAAAAGTTGATGAAATTTTACACTTATTTGACATTTAACCTCCTAAAATACTTCTAATGAGGTCAAACTTTAAGACAATTTATCTGCTGTATATCCTTTTTAATTTTATGACCTCATATCTTACTTTTAAATGTGCTGAAATGCATAAATGTGTCTAGGATGAGCAAAAAACGAAAATTGCTGACCGAAAGTTGAAAAATACCACGTTGCTAAGCAACCCCTTTAAAGTCATTATATGCAAAATTGAAAAAAAAAAGTTTATGTGATTAGTGTAGTACAGTATGATGCTCTTTTGTGAGTATATTCCAAATTTCCTATTTCAACATACATCATTGTAATGTTTTAGCTTGAAGATTAAAAAGTATCGAAAAATTCAATAAGATTTTGCACTTATTTGACCTTTGACCTGCATTTCTACTAATAAGGTCAGTTGTTGGGTATCTGAATGGCCATGAAATATCATCTCTTAAAAAATTTCCTACAAGATGGCATGCACTATGCCTAGCTTTCTTCTTGGATATAAAGGTTAGAAATAATTTGATAATGCTATGTCAAAAGGTCTCCAAAATCACGTAAAATGCGCCGGTAGAGAAAGGGTTAAGCTATAATCCATACCAAAATCTTACATATTTATTTTCTTATAAAGATACCACCTCTAAATATTCAAATGTTGAAATCTGCTTGAAACTTTTGAGGCCTCTATCGAACAGTAAAGAAACAGATAAAAAATTGTGAAAAGTAATATTTAATTTTATATTTCCTTCTGCTTAAGGGAGGCTGTATGATATCGGCAATATTGGCGTTAGAGATGTTCCCTGCCGAGTCTCGGGGTTTTGTCATCTATGTTGATAGCATTGTCTTCACTCTCGCCATCACGTCACTATCTCCACTGGCCTACCTCCTTAGGAACGTCTCCTGGAGATACACCATGCTGGCGGCCGGTATATTAGGCTCCCACAGCCTTGCTACACGGTGGTATGTACCTTTATTGTATCTGCCGGTATAATTAGCTCTCTCAGCCTTGTTACACCATGGTATGTTCCTTTATTCTATCTGTCGGTAAAATTAGCTCTCTCGGCCTTGTTACACTCTGGTATGTACCTTTATTGTAACTGCCGGTATAATTAGCTCTCTCAGCCTTGTTACACCCTGGTATGTACCTTTATTGTAACTGCCGCTATAATTAGCTCTCTCAGCCTTGTTACACCCTGGTATGTACCTTTATTGTAACTGCCGCTATAATTAGCTCTCTCGGCCTTGTTACACCGTGGTATGCACCTTTATTGTATCTGCCGGTATAATTAGCTCTCTCAGCCTTGTTACACCCTGGTATGTACCTTTATTGTAACTGCCGCTATAATTAGCTCTCTCAGCCTTGTTACACCCTGGTATGTACCTTTATTGTAACTGCCGCTATAATTAGCTCTCTCGGCCTTGTTACACCGTGGTATGCACCTTTATTGTAACTGCCGGTATAATTAGCTCTCTCGGCCTTGTTACACCGTGGTATGCACCTTTATTGTATCTGCCGCTCTAGCAGGTTTCCTACAGCCTTCTTACACGCCGGTGTTTACCTTTCTTGTATCTGTATCTATCGGTATAATAAGTTCCCACAGCCTTGCAAAACGCTGCAGGTAAGTACTTTTAATGTCTCTGTAATTTTCTGTATAATTCTCTGGCACAGTCTAGCTCCACTGTGGTACGTGAGTTCATTGCCTCAATTTCTATTGGTATAGAAGCCTACTACTGCATTGCTACAAAAGTATGTTTCTTTATCGTCTCGGTGACTGTTGGTATTAGATTTATTGGTGCTCATAGCTTTGTTACACTATGTTCTGTATATATCTTACTGACATTCATATATCATACATGCATCGGAAATTACACACAGAAACAACTCTGGTATTTTCATAATATTATGTACAAGAAAAAAAATCACGGGTATAGAAATTCAACAAAATAAGGTATCTGATCAAAAAAGATGTACATTCATTTTTTTCATGAGTTTTATAAATAATAATAATATTTATTTCATATACTACATATTCAGATGCAATACATTTGACATGGTAATATAAAATACTAAATATAATGGTTGATACCAAAGAATTAGAATTAAAACAAATCGGAATCACTCAATTTTAGAAAACATAAATATTAGGTGCAATATTTTTGTATACCAAGGAAAACCCATGAAAAACCAAGGGCTTATTTCCAATGGGGTCCAAATAATTATAACCTAGAGGTTAAGTTAATCAATATAAATAAAGAACTGGGATTATGTTGACAACAAAGAGATAATAAGAATGAATTGTTGTATGCTTATACAAAGCTCAAAAGCATATAGAACATTATCAACTAAAAACGAGATATAGAGACTACTCAAACTTTATTTGACCGTTCGCGGTAGCTCAGTCGGTAGAGCGCTCGCTTCGTGACCGGAGGTCGTAAGTTCGAATCTCGGCCGCGACTGACCTAAGTCGATAAAAAATGGGTAGCAACGGTTCCTTCGCCATGCGCTCGGCACTTTGAAGTGAAAGTTGCGGGTCCTTCGGATGAGACCTTAAAATCCGAGGCTCCGTATCACGGCAGGCGTTGGCACGATAAAGATCCCTCACTGCTCAATGGCCCTGAGTGCCGAGTAAAGGTCAAAATTTGAAGCCATTCTCTGGTATATGGTGACGTCTCTATATGATTGAAAAATTCTCGAATGGGACGTAAAGCAACATTCAATCAATCAATCAAACTTTATTTGACGTTTATGCTGGGCAATTCCAAAAACTTATTTCAAGTATTTAAACAGTTTAAGTCCTCTTGGTAACATATCCCAATCTTTGACTCCAAGAAAATAGAATGATTAGGATTGTTTGTGCTTTACAACTGGAATAACGAAATCTGTATTTGACGCAGACCTAGTATAATAGCTGCTAAGTTTAGACAGAAGTGATGAAATATATGAAGGTAACGAACAGTAATCAAGCTCAAAAGTCCATTAAACAATACAAAATAAAAGCAGAGCAAACACAGACTTCCAAAACATCAGAGGTGGGATCAGGTGCCATGGAGGAGTGAGCATCCTCTGCCGAACTGTCACACCCGTCGTGTGCTCCTTGTCATGATCGGAAAATAACGGAAAAATCCATCGACAATTCGGTGTGTAAATATTAAATAAATGGTCACGTCTAAGGTGAGAAACTCTATCTTAGATTTTTAATAGATTTAACTGATTAAGAACCTCATAAATAACAGATGTTGTGGAGCTAAATAAAAAACAAACCGAACCATCTTATTTTGACATATTTGAAGTTTAAGATAGAATGGAATATCAATCACTTCAGACGTAATCAGTATGGCATTGTATAAGTACTGAACGCATTCTTTTTAGGAAAATTATCTAAAAATGGGCATGTCGGTGTAGAAATCGCAACCTATTATTCACCACTTAAACAATTGTCAATCACAACTAAAAGATATCTAACGTTTTTTTTTTCTTTACATTTAATGTTATGGTCATTGTATACGTCATAGTAATTCCAAACATTTTGAAACTTTCTTTTGGAACCAAATTAGATACATTCAGTTTTGCTACATGTTACAATAATGTATTATCTACAAGCCAGTTTATTAAAATCTGGTTAATCTATGGCTGTTTGTATTTCGTTTGAAAGATGTATACACGTGGCTGTTTTCAAAGAAAATATGAACATTTCTTTGTACGAAAAAAAAATACTAACTCATACGCGATTATTAAAATATTTTCCTAACGCTTTTTGATATATCTTCCACGTAGGTCAAGTTATATACTGTATTGGTTTTCGCTTAATTTTCCGCAGGATTCTACAAGAATCTCTTCGGTGGCTTGTCGTGAATGGAAGATATAAAGAGGCCAAGCAGTGGATAATACGCGCTGCCAGATGGAACAAGATGGACCCCTCCAGAATTCTAGCGAGGTTTGACTCTGAATTACAGAGTAGGGAACAGCAGATGCTTGTGGATGAAAACACTGACCTTGAACCGGAGGCTTATGGTGAACAAACCGGAACAGTGAGGTTGGATTCAGATAGGAAGAAAGAGAATTTGTCTGTATTGGATATTTTCAGGCATAAAAAGATTCTACTAATATCCATGATTGTTTGTGTTGTCTGGTAATAATCAATATAGAACATTTCTGAATGTAAGCAATTTACACTATATAATATATATTCCTTTATTATTTATTTATTTATTTATAATAATTGATTTCTATTATTACCGTTAATGTTGTTGTTTTGGTTGTTATTAATGTACCCTATGAGATGAAAGTGATAAAAAGAAAATATATATCCTATGTCACTTCGCCAAATTTTATTTGCTTAGTATTATGTTCTTTTAAAATATAGCGATTAATGTTATGATATAATCAAATGATTTCCTTTAATGTATAACACAGAAGGAATTCAGATACTTTTAGCGGTATATCTCAATTGAATGTATATTTCTTATTAGGTTTGTAAACAGTATGACGTACTATGGAATATTTCTTACTTCTGGTACTATGAGTGGAGATGTGTACCTGAATTTCTTCTTAAACGGCATCGTAGAAATACCGGGTATTTTTATCTTTTGGTTTACCATCAACAGGTATATCGCTATATTATAAACCATTTAAAATTAAGAAAATGATATAAAGTTTTCTATTTCAAGAAAAAAAGAAAACAAGTCTGTTTTCAGATATGGTAGAAGAAAATCCGGTGTCATGTTTCATGCTATAGCTGGAGTGAGTCTTATTTTGGCTGCAGTTATTCAATTTGCTGGAGGTAAAATTGCACTTAACTAAAGGTAAAATTTCTACATTTTACTGGAAAAAATAAAATTTCAATTAACGTTACTGGTGGTAAAAATATTAACTTAATTTACTGGAGGTAAAATTTCTTAAGGGGAACCATTACCGTTCTACGTTAGAGCAGCTGCGTATGACGTCACTATAATTACTTATTGTTGTTTTATTGCAACAGTTGCAATTGAAAATAAAAACATAAAGTGAAAGTTCCTCTTTAAAATTTTCTAAAAACTAATATTTTTGACGTGGGGTAGAGTGAAAATTAGAATTTCATGGTTTATTTTGTTTACATGAAATAAATGAATAATAAGTTATTATAATAAAAAAAGTTCAAAAAATTCACACAAAAACTTTCTGGAGATACGTTTCTCCTTTGCTTTTCTAAGTTAAAATTCCTTAATTTTTCTAGAGGTAAAAACTAAACTAAAAAAGGAAAGAAATCTGCTTCTATATAAAGTATACTCACATAAAAGAAGAACAGATAATTTTTATTGAATCAGTTATATAGATCATTTACACCGGTTATTTAAGAAAGCTGAACTGCATTGCCCTCTTTGTCTCTTTACATTGTGTTTCTTTAATAGACACGCAGGTGCTGGAAGGGTTGGCCTCCGCCATGATTTTTGTCGGAAAGTCTATGATAACAGGCTCATTCATAACAATCTTCTTATACACTCCAGAGATTTATCCTACCAATCTAAGGTATACAATCCAGAGATTAATCTTACCAATCTAAGGCATGTTATCTTTATATAAACTCCAGAGATCTATCCTACCAATCTGAGGTATACAATCCAGAGATTAATCTTACCAATCGAAGGTATGGTATCTTTATATACACGCCAGAGATCTATCCTACCAATCTAAGGTATGGTATCTCTATATACACGCCAGAGATCTATCCTACCAATCTAAGATATTGTATCTTTATATACACGCCAGAGATCTATCGTACCAATCTAAGGTGTGGTATCTTTATATACACTCCAGAGATCTACCCTACCAATCTAAGGTATGATATCTTTATACACTATCCAGAGATTAATCTTACCAATCTAAGGTATGGTATTCATTATACAAATCTAAGGTATGATATCTTTATATATACGCCAGAGATCTATCCTACCAATCTAAGGTATGATATCTTTATATATACGCCAGAGATCTATCCTACCAATCTAAGGTATGGTATTCATTATACCAATCTAAGGTATGGTATCTTTATATACAATCCAGAGATTTATCCTACCAATCTAAGGTATGGTATCTTTATATACAATCCACAGATTAATCTTACAAATCTAAGGTGTGGTATCTTTATATACACGCCAGAGATTTATCCTACCAATCTCAGATATGGTACCTTTATATACACTGCAGAGACCTACCCTACCAATCTAAGGTATGATATCTTTATATACAATCCAGAAATGTATCCTACCAATCTATGGTGTGGTATCTTTATATAAATCCAGAAATGTATTCTACCAATCTAAGGTATGATATCTTTATATACACTCCAGAGATCTATACTACCAATCTAAGGTATGGTATCTTTATATGCACCCCAGAGATTTATCTTACCAATCTAAGGTATGGTATCTTTATACACACTCCAGAGATTTATCCTACAAATCTGAGGTATGATATTTTTATATACAATCCAGAGATCTATACTACCAATCTAAAGTATGATATCTTTAAATACGGAACATAGATTTACCCTACCAATTTAAGGTATGATATTCAAACAAATTCTCTATACATATATATCTGATCACCTTAGATTTATAAGAAACATTTTTGGCATATGTAATTATCTTTATTGCTATTCTCCCTAGTATAATTAATCACTCTTTATTCAGAAGACGATTACAAGTAGATAACAACACAGTCTGTGATTGTAAGCCTCAATATTTATATATGAAAGTGTTTTCCTTAATACAACGCTATTTGAACAAGGTGTAATTAAGCCTTTGTATAAACAGGTTTGTCATATGACCATAAATTTATTGTTTAGTCATAAACGATTTCTGTTAGTTTATAGTGACCTCATAAGTGATCAAAGTGTTCAAGACATTCAATTAAATCCATTGAGGTTTGCGAAAAAAAAAGTTTCTGGGTTAAAAAATATAATACCCAACTATTTGTAATAAATCAGTCACAAATGTGTGTTATAAGGTATCATTTTTAATATGTATCGGGATGTAAATATTGGTTGGTACGTGATCATATCTACCATAAAGCCTTTTGATACTACATGACCATCCCATATTTACATCCCGATAAAACGTTTAAAATGATTCCTTATTTCTTAGTTCTTACAATTGTCATATTGAGGAACTTGGATTTAATTTCATCAGATATTCCAACTTATAATCAAATTTCTATGACTAATTTAAGCCAAATGCCAGTTTTAAATATTCTCAACTACCAAACTGAGTTCGATTAATCAAAATTTGAATAAAATCATTACAAAGAAATTTACAAAGCGGGATCTTGAAAATATTTCACCAAAACCTTTTTCTTGACTCATCACAAAGAATGAACATCTATGAAGGAGGAACTTTTGTGAAATAGTACAAAAACATATGTGAATACCTGTGTTAATTAGATGAGGAAACGTTAAACCTATGATCTTCAACAAAAAAGAATAGATCATTTCAGATCACAGCATTTTGACAATACGTGTGATTTTTTGATACTTTATACAAGCAGCCCTCACGATAAATAAAAAAAAGTCTTTTTGACATCATATTCAAATTTGTTTTCAGTAAAAATGGATTAAATAAATAATTTACATACCTTTTCATTGGTCGTCTGCAAACTTTTTTTTGTTAAGAATACATTTTGTTTCTACATACAAGAATTCCAAAGGTAATGTTTCAAAAAGTGATTGAGTTTCTCGTTGGCTATATCTATGAAATCTTTGAGGAACAAGTCTTCGAACAATCTATTTGAATTCCCCTGGGACTAACTGTGCTCCCTTCATAGCAGATCTGTTTTTGTATTCTTATGAAGTGAGATTTATTCAAAATCTTCTACACAAAAAGATGAAGTCTCCTGCTCTGGTCTTCGATTCATGCCTTACTCATAAGTTTATATTGTTTATAGATTTTTATGAGATCGATCACTGTTCGATATCTCCACCTTGTCATTATATAAACAGTGTGTTGATGATAAATTAATCGAGCAGTATTTCTAATATCTATGAAAACTAAAACAAAAGCAAGCATTTACATTAACAAATAAGAAATCGAATCGATAGATTCCGCAGCAGGCAGAACCATAACAATAAATGTTAAACTATTGTCTAAAATGTGTTCTTCCTTTTTAAAATGAGGTTTCATAAGGAAAATATTAGGTGTCCTCAAACCATCAGCATGTTCTGAATATATACATTTCCCTGTTTATATGATTGTGCATACCTTTGCATTTGTATGTATGTGTCTATTTGTATGTGTCTATTTGTATGTATGTGTCTATTTGTATGTGCGTGTGTGCTTGAGACATTTTTCCTCTTTTCAGGGCACTCAGTATCGGAATCGGTGCCACTGCAGGTAGAATAGGTAGTATTGTATCGTCATTTGCAGCTTTGTTTGTAAGTATTTGTAAATAGACATGCATACTTTCTTTGAAAGTGTTTGTAATTATGTATGCATGTTTTCTTTTTAAATGTTTGTTATTAAGTATGCATGTTTTCTTTATAAGTATTTGTAATTATGTATGCATGTTTTCTTTATAAATATTTGTTATTAGGCATGCATGCTTTTTTGTAAGTATTTGTAATTAGGGTATGCATGCTTTCTTTGTAAGTGTTTGTAATTAGGTATACAGTTTTGTTTGTAAGTGTTAGTAATTAGGTATACAGCTTTGTTTGTAAGTGTTAGTAATTGGGTATACAGCTTTATTTGTACGTGTTTGTAATTATGTATACAGCTTTATTTGTACGTGTTTGTAATTATGTATACAACTTTGTTTGTATGTGTTTGAAATTAATAAGTATGCAGCTTTGCTTTTAAGTGTTTGTAAGTAGTTGTAATTAGGTATGTAGCTTTAGTCTAAGGTATTTATAATAAGGTATGCAGATTTGGTTGTAAGTATTTGTAATAACATGCAGCTTTATTCTTAAGTTTGTTGTATGGTTTGCAGATTTGTTTGTAAGTATTTGTAATTAGGTATACATGCTTTCTTTGTAAGTATTTGTAAGCAGATATGCAGCTTTGTCTGTAAGTGTTTGTAATTAGGTATACAGCTTTGTTTCCAGTGTTTTAATTAAGTATACAACTTTGTTTTCAGTGTTTTAATTAGGTATACAGCTTTTCATTTATAAGTATTGGTTATTAGTTATACAGCTTTGTTTGTAAGCATTCTTAATTAGATGTGCAGCTTAGTTGTATATATATATATATATTCATGATCTCAAGGTAATATACAAGTAGTCATCTACTTTCCTTACTATCCTCCCATTCACTAACCAAATGTTCTTTCTGTATCGAGCCCATTTTTGACAATAATTAGATTGACGAACTCTTTTCCTATACTTTATATAGGGATAACATATTCAAAGACTTCAAAATTCTGTAAATTCTGTTAATTGTACATTCTTTGACTTTATGTATCAATTTGCTGTTTGTATTTCGTATAGGCTTCCTACGTACCATGGGGACCCGGTGTCGTGTTTGGCTCTCTGTCAGTCCTTGTCACGATTTTGTTCCAATGGTTACCCGAAACAACTGGGAAAGAACTGCCAAATACTCTCGAGGAAGTCATGAGTTTCGATGTCCAGAAAGTCAAAAAGAGAAAGACAAGAATGAATTCTTTAAGTGAAAATACCTAGCGGAGAAGAGATTGCATATTTTATATGTACAGTTGTAACCCCCCTCCCCACTTCCAATGGAAAAAAAAAATAATAAAAAGTGATGATAAAATAGGAGTGTGAATAATTCTTGAGACTTAGCTTTAACAAGCGCTTGCCATTGCTATAATTTAAAAAAAAAGAAAGAGAAGGGAAACTGTCATGGTTGACATCGTTTAAGAAAGGATGTATTTTTTTGTAGAGCAGTGCGCACTGCACTATCTTCGTAACAGGAATACCCACTTTTTCTAGCAGCTGCCATTCTATATAACGACACTTCGTATTACAATGATTCATTGTCAGATAAACAAAAGGAGGACTGAGGGAGAGTTTAAAAGAAATCGGAGAGATAATTTCATAATTGCATTTTTCACCATAACGTGATAAATGCTTTTAATACATGGGCCAGTGCGAGGGCGATTACTCTTGCGTCCTTGGTTGCTCTCAAACATTCTTTCACATACTAGTATATTACAAAATATCAAGGACCTTGTAAAAACGATTTTTATCGACAGTCTACAGAAGTATCTAGAAGGACTGACATGTTGGAAAATTTCACCAACCCATCCTACCCTAAAATATGATTGATTAGTTGACTGTATATTGTTTTACGTCCCGTTCGTAATTTTTTTCACTCATATAGATACGTCACCATATACTGTTGAAGTGCTTCATATTTAGATTTCTACTCGGCACTCAGGGCCATTGTGCAGTGAGGGATCTTTTAATTACCGTGCCAACGCCTGCGGTGACTAGGGGCCTCGGTATTTAAGTTCTCATCTGAAGAACCAGCAACTTTCACACCAATGTGCCGAGCGCTTGACAAAGGAACAATTACTACCTCTTTTTCATCGACTTAGGTCGGTTGCCGCTGGGGCTTGAACACATGGCTTTCCAATCACTTAGGTCAGTCGTACCTTAAATTTATGAATAGATACCGACTGCTTTCATTTTTCCCATTTCTATAACTGCAGCCTACGCTAACATCAAGAGTAATGTGTATGTGGTACACCCTAGCAGTTGCACTCGTACGCAAGGAAGGGTATGTGGACCATGTGTAATTGTGTACAGGGTGGGACTACTGATAATTTTGTGTTTAATGGGAAAACTTCTGTTAAAATGTCTGTGATTCCATCCTGTATTTAATTGGACATTTCTAAGGTGCTCATAACCAGTTCTCAAGGACATTGGTGACCATTGATGATGATTTGTTAAATACAGTATTACAGTTGTATCACAAGCAAGTAGCTCGTTAACATATACTGAATATTTCTATGTTTGGGATTATTGTAAAATTTTGCCACAATCTAGGATGGGGGCGGCGTAATTGGGGCATTCTCATATGTCTAGCTCAAAATTCTGGACCGGGTAATCTATCCTTAGTACCAGTGATGATTTTTGGGTTACCTCAGTGTTTCCAGACAACCTGTGCAGTAAATTTTGCAACTAATGTTCCAGGTCTTCCAATTTTAAACTGCTACTCCAAGACCATACGACAATAATGCTTTGATGTTGAAGGTCCAAGTTTTTTTTCCCCAATAGTAAAATTAGTGTATTTCTGAGCCCTGGTGATGATTGAAGACATTCCAAACTGTCTGCAAACATTCAGGCTTAACGTACAATTAGCAAGATTTTGATGCTTTCAGGTACACAGATAGTGCGAATGTAAAAGGACTATATTCGATAATGACAATATTTGCCCCCAAAATCAAAGTTTGACGGAGAAATATAATTAAGTTGTAAAACAGGGGAATATCTGCAGACATCAAAGCATTAAATATTTTCACCAGGCATGACGTCATACATTATATATGACATCAGGAAAATGACGTTTATTTAAAATTTCCATGATTTATAGAGAAAAGGGTGTATTTCACATCGATATTTTGAGTAAAAATCACGGAGCGCAGGTGTGTTCCAACTCAACGTTTTGATATAATGTGTAGAATATTAATATCAATGAAATAGGTGAATAATGTTATGGAGCAAGGTTATAAATTATATAGTAACAAATTTTGTCCATTTTGTCCTCTTTCTGAAAAATGACACAAAATTCAAATAGTTTGTGACGTTATAGAAACAAAAATTGTCTATATGCTACTTCGGAGCTATAATATTTTTTGTTCATTCAGATTTTTCAGACAATATATACAATTTAGCACACTTCAAGAAATTTTCAAAATTTGACTTTTGTGAGGGCAAACAATATGTTTATACCGCATATAGTGCCATCTGTCTTTAGTTTAAATTTCATTCTCAGGGATGCCTTGCAAGTACATGTAAGTTGCAATACCAAATCTAAAGAAATTGGACTTAATTATAGAAGTATCTAAGCTGAAAAATGACAAGTTTCTTTTGAGAACTTGTTTGAATTGGTAAAATGTTAACGGAAAGTCCTCAATGTTATACAATAGCTGACTCATACAGCTTGGTAATTAATTCAAGTATTTATTTAAATATGACAGCATGTTGTTAAATAGCAATTGATTGTCGCTACACATGTTTATAATTAAGGTTGTTCCTGCACCAGTTTGGTCAGTTTTGGTTTTTGCTAGGATTAATTTAATTGTATGAATTGACAATTGGGTATTGTCTATGGTTAGTGCATTACTTCGTCTGCGATTTGTTTGGGTGATCTCAGTTACTTGCAAGATGGCAAAACAGCCAAAAAAGAAGGCGGAGCCAAACAGTTTTACCCCATATACATTAGCACAAACGTGTGACATTGAATTCAGAATGCTTATGAGGATTGTGATGGCTATGGAGCATATCATAAAACCCAAGAGTACTTTCTTTACAACGAAAAATGAGCAGGAGTCATGAAAGCTGTTAATCTTAAAATTAAATTGATGCCTGCTAAATAAAATGTAGCTGTTTTATATAATGTGCCCTTGCAAGACAAGAATGCTATGTAGTTAATATGTAGTTAATAATGTGATCAACGGGGGGGGGGGGGGGCACGGGGTGGGCAAACGTGTGTTGAGATTGAAATTATAGGAACGACTTAATGCCCTCATCATATGTAGATTGAGTATTTGTAGGGATAGAATTTTGCAGGAGTTTCTCTACTTTTGGTTTATAATGCTGAAGAACTCCCTGGGTATCTGACAAGGATACTGGTCTGCAAGGGGGGGGGGGGTCTTAATGTGCGCGAATGAAAACGAGATATAGCATCAGTATTTTGTTTGTACAAAATGCTACGATGACACATTTGATCTCCATCTCAATAGATTCATTCGATTTGATGGTACCACTTGACTTTACCATAGTTTGATCATTCGTGGTGGGGTGATCAGTGTTAATAATGTATCCTCTAAATTGGAGTCAGTCAAATATCTTCCATACTTGAATGGACGGAGTGTCTCAAAAGAAGTTTTAGATTTCTTGTATTTTAATTCATTGAAAGATAGGGAACATCATATACAAGGCTTCAAATTAGATCGTGTTTAAAAGGCGGGCAAGAACGGCCCTCTCTTATCAAATGTCATATCGCTTCAAACCAGGACGTACTCTCCTCATCTTGTCAAGTGCAGATTTATGAAATTCACTACTATGAACAGAGAAACGAACATGGCGTTGCGTTTACTGTATCCCCTAATCTTAGTAATGCTAATGGCTTGTAATAATGAATGCTTGCTACTGAATGACCCCTCTGCTATGGAGCAGAGACTTTCTCAAATGGAGGCTTTGGTTCAGGGACTCACTCAGGAAGTTAAAGGTCTTACTCAGGATGTTAGCTCTTTGAAGCAGGAAAACTCATATCTTAAGTCTAAGATATCGACAGGTAAATAATTATAACCAATTTGGACTTAATTAAGTAGTGAAAAATTCAGCAGACATCTTTGTATCTTTAAGAAAGGAAACATGACAACAAGTTATTAAACGATATATACACTTCAGTCGTATTTAACTCCTGAAACACTTTTGTGTATATAAGGGCTCTCCTCGGTCTTTGAAAAGAAACAGAAAAAATCAATTCGACAATTCGGTGTTAAACGGAAAAAATCCGTAGATAATTCAGTGTTAAAATAATGGTCTAACAATTAGTTTTAAAAAACGTCAGTCGGCATTCGACTTAATGATAAATTGTATTTGCTGACAACGTCATTGTATCGACCATAGAACTTGCGAAATGATGACCTTAAAAGGTGTTAACATGTATCTAAATTTCTTACAAAATTAAACACAATTATATTCTTGAAACATTAAATTATCGTTTTAACATTAAATAATTTTGAAAATGATCGTAATTAGGCGATAAGACGCCCGTGATATAGAGTCCTCGAAGTAAAAATCTCCACTAATACGATAGGGGTCACTTGGTACTGAAACGTCATAGGTGACAATGGTCAATTAGAGCTCGTAAAGCTTATCGTAAGAAAAAAAAAATATAAATATCTAATACATTTTGATGTTAAATAATTACACTATACAATATTGTTGCGGGAAATTTTGACATAGTCGATATTTCTATGGTAATGGACTTCAATCTTTTATGTATATACGTCTAAAGAGAGAAATAACCATTGGGCAAGAAAATTTTCTGACAAGTAGAGCAGCTGTAGAGAGGACAGCGAAAATGAAGCCATTGACAATGTGGGACTTCGACTGAATAGAACGAATTACTGCAGTTTGACTCTGTAAATATTTATAAATATGGGAATTTTAATTTCTCTTTCATTCATTATATTAATAAATTATATAAATCCTGTGTATTTTCTTTCTATTCCAGCAGTGAATATCATTTACTAGAAATGACACTTCTTCAATGGCATCGTAAGCCATTACGAACTTCAAAACATATATTCCTACTAGATTCGGTTCGACTTTTTAAAAAAAGCATGTTGTTTATTATTTTATGTTTTAAAAAGTACCATTTCCTTAAAATACTTATTAATAGGTACAAAAACGATCGTTTTGAATAGGAACAAAGCCCTCGCGTTTGCAGAAAGAAGACCCACTTTCACCTCCCGACCAAGCTAAGGAAATGTGAAAAAAATCTTCCAAAATTATTTCTTGTGCACATTTGTGCATCCAAATTCCACAAATTATACTTTACGAGCTGTCAATTATCCAGTTATCACTTATTGATTATCTAACAGGTTTAATAAACGCAACAAATGAGCTGAAAAAAATTGAGACATGATAAAAATCCCTTAAACGAGACTGTTACAAATGCAAATGCTATATTAACTTGGGTAAATTATCCCGGATTTAGTTTGTGTGGCGACAGACCTTAGTGGCCTCCATATAAATCGTCATCATAATATCACCATGACAGACATTTACTTATGAATTCACTATCATAAGTGACATCTAATAAACGATAGTCATGCAAAATTCTTTCAGTATCGCGGTTAAATGTTTTCAAAGTGAAAAACATTGTCTACAACATTTTTGGACATCCCCTGTATACTGTCACTCTCTGCTATCTTGATGCTGGATATTCTACTTTGGATATTGATTTAACAGAGAAAACTTTTACAGCACAAACCTCATATATAGTTCTCACGTATCTCGTCAAATACGTTAAGTTTTACTCACCCTGTGACTGATAATTCTAGGAATCACATGAGAGTATAGTCTTCGCAAGATTAGTGAATATAACTGACAATAACAATACTGCATATAGATTAAACTATGACTTACAAATAAAACCGATTTTAATACAAAAACATAAATGTATACATTCCCTATGTCTTTTCTTATAAAATGTGTTGAAGGCTTTGGCATTTAAAGCATCATAGCTTTATTGGTAAAGTCAAGAAGGATTATATAATTATATTTATTAACTTTACAAAAAACGTGAACGCCATAACGTCATAATCAAAAATCACACCCACATTGCTCCCTTAATTTGGCAAGATAAGTGTGATGTGTTTCCATTAAAGATATTATTCATTTTTATAAATTTATAAAGTGAGAATAACGAACAGTGATCGATTTTCAAGAAATCTATAAATAATACAAATATGTGAAAAGGGTATATAAAATACAGATCCCTGGAAATTCCAAAGGTGGGATCAGGTGCTTAGGAGGAATAAGAATCACACAGGAGATGTATACATTTATGTATTTCTTTTATTTACATAAGTTTAATTTGTGCGTTGTAGTATAATAAAAAGGCAGCTTTCTGATTATCATTTACATTCACTCACATTTCTAATGTAAGCGATATTCTTCTCAACACCAAAGTCGTTTTGTAGAGGTCAGGTGGTAAACCTGTTTTTATACAGGGTTAAATTCCGGCAGCTCAAAAAGTGTTATATAAGGGAATGTATTTTCAAAACACTCTTTACATTATAAACTTATGTCAGGTCTTTTTTTTTTCAAATTACAGTTAATTGTTATGAAATGATAAATCACACTCTGCACTGTAGTACGTAATTTGTAATGTATTCAAATATTCTAAACATAATATTAGACCAAGACATTAATAGCAAATAATGTCTAATTATTCTTTTCCTTTAGTTCTTTACTCTCTAAATATATGATATACTTTTTTGTATAGGGCAGACGCCAGCATTTTTCTCAGCATATAGGAAAAATCATCTGTCATTTACCACAACAACCCAAACAGATGTCGTGTACGACGGTGTCCGAAGTAACTTCCACACCTGCTACAATACTTCAAGTGGTCAATTCATAGCCCCCTTTAAGGGCTTCTACGTTTTTAGCTGGGAAACTCTTACAACAGCAGGGAAAATATTTGATAGTGAGTTATTAGTCAATGGAGTTCGTTATATGCTGAATGCCTGTAACAATATAGCACAGAACACTGCATATTCCAGCTGTACTGGAGTGGCTCCTGTTCAGTTAGAGGTCGGGGATATTGTCCACATCCGGGCCTTAAGTGCAACATTCCTTCATGGTGATTGGTCGAGCTTCAGTGGATGGCTAGTGACTAAAACTTAAATAAGCGATTGCCACTGTTAGAGCATTATAATTAAAACAAAAACAAAATGATCATGTGTATATATTTATAAATTATTATAAACATATGAGCTTTCATTTCATGAGTTCAATAGTTGTAATCAATATGTACTTTGCCATAAAACCAACGGTTAGTTCATATCAGGACTAGCATGTTTCATACCAATTGCTCTAAAAGGGTCTGCAAAGTACACTGTAATTCTTACAACGGGATGGGTTTTGTGTACCTTTTATTATCAAAAACAAAATGTTACGAGGATATGACTATTTGACAGAAACATTCTTACTCCTTCTTGGAACCTTGTAACCTCCGTTGTTTCCAGGATTACACGTTTTTGTCCTGTACTTAATGTTTTTGGTTACAAAAGTTATGGATTTTAATCATCTTTTTATTAACAATGATTAAAAAGAAATATAAAGTTATCGAAAAGTAATTAAGCAACTCGGAAGCAGAATTAACAGAGGCTTCTAAAATCATCAGGAAGGTGTTTTACAAAAGAACTTATAAGATTTAAAAATTCATGTAGTTTTAAAATCTCTACAAACTGAATAATTTTGTGAGATTGGTGAAATGTCAATTTAATGAATATAAATAATAAAATAACTTGCAAAAGGTGATTTTGGTCTCAGTCCTAAGTTCTTATATAAAACACAGCGCTGAGGTGGGATCAGGTGGCACGAAAGAGTTCGCATCCTCTATTGACCGGTCAAACCCGTCATGTACTCCTTGTCACATCCTAATATTCTTGAATATAAGGATATACAATAATGATATTTGATCCTGTTTTTTTCTGTTAAATATACAATAATGTTTGATAAGTTATTGATATTACATAATATAAGTCATTAGTGAATAGCTTGTGTTTACTTTGGACACATTTCGTTCTATAAACTGATGAATCGTATAGAAAAATTGTAAAATTTGGATTATCAGTCATTGTTTCCCATGAGTGTGCTCTCTACGAGATACAATAATATCATTAATAAGTACAAGTCAACACGTTTGTCCTATGTATAAAGTGGCATTTACATCATTAGCAATTTTCACAGTGCATTCCACTTAAGACATAAGACATACGTTTCTAAGCTTTAAAAAAATAAGCATAACATACCTGATTTTAATATCAACGTTCATTTTAAATAATTTATCATAATTAATATCATTTTTTTTAAACTGCCGTGTTTTCATAATTATGTAATGAAAGTTTCCTCATAAAGAGAAAGTAATTGCGTGAATTATTTTTTTTAACGATGATCAATGAGATTTAGTACAATAGCTGATTTTTATAGCATATATGTAAAATGATGAAAATAAAACAAAATAGAAATTATTATCCTTCAGAATTATACAGTCAATCTGATTGGTATAGAGCATGTTACGTGAGGGGAGACAATTTGTGAAGTCTCCCTCAAGCGCAACTGAGAATGAAATAGCGCAAGCGAGCGTGCAGGGTGACAACCGTGTTGTCAAATTAAATGAAAATAAAGCGGCTTAAGCGAGATAACTCATATTATAATTATACAATTGCTATATATGCGGGATCGGTAAACGTCAAAGTTGTCTGTTGACAAATTTCAAAAGTATTAAGCAGAGTAGGAGATCACAAGAGGTTTGACTACTATTTTCTTCTCTATTTAATTGATAATTTTGATTCTTAAGGATAATAAAACTATTATAATTGTGTAATAACAACTTAGGAATTTCCTTCTAGAGGTCAATAAACAGTTTGTAGTCTTATCTCAAACAAAGATTAACATATTTATATTCGTAGGTTTGCAGAAGAACATGTTACTGAATGACCCTTCGGTTATCGAGCATCGCTTAGTGCATATGGAATCCATGGTTCAAGAACTCTTCCAAGAGGTCAGCTCTTTCTCAATTAAAGAACCTGCACTGTTTTCATCACATCAAATAAATGCAATAACTTTTTTTAAACAATATTCCAGTGTTCGGATAAAAAAACTCAAAGCTGACATTAATTCAAAGAACTACATAAAAAGGTTATTTTCACAGATTTTTATAAAAGAAATTGTCCAATTTCAAGGTAAATAAAAACAAGGAGAGAAAAAGGCATATGCATTGCCAAAGTAACAGACAATCAAGATACTGTGATTTCATGGTGCATATTCCGGAATAATATTGGAAATACAAGTTAAATGCTAGGGCTGGGACGATACAACTTTTTCTATATCGATACGTATCCCGATATTTGAGCCACGATACGATATGTATCACGATATGTTTAATTGGTTATAAATCCTTTTTTTATATTGAAATGAACAAAACATTTCTTCACAAATAAGAATAATTTATTCAAAGAAGTTGTATATCTGTTGTAAAACTTAATTATTTTGCACAAGTGGTCTTAATTATTATGTATTTCATATTTATATTTATATTAAGCATATTTATTTTACATACTAAACCCAAAATGTTAAGTAAACAAAGAAAAACATTAGTCAGAATTTTTTGGGCGATATGTCGATATTTCTTCATATGTATCGATATGCGTATCATCCTCACATTGAATCGATATTATCGATATCTCGATATATCGTCCCAGCCCTATTAAATGCTGAGCAGTAAATAGTGGGTTAGAGACTTTGAGTTGCCTACTAAAAGCCAGCATATGTTTGCGTACTTTAGATATCTTCATGTACATCTAAGATTTGCAGATCATTTATTTTTGAACTGCACCATTATTATGAAAATACTTGTAATATACTGACGTTCTTTAACATGAAGTAATACTGTTAAATGTCAGTAAGGCTTGCTTGTGTAAATAAGACACATTAAACAAGAATTAGCATACTTTTTGACGGCATAATACACTAAAGATACAACATATAACATCAGTGTTTGCTAATCTATATTATGCCTACATCAACTCATAACCTACATACTATTAGAATACTAACTTCTGATAACTTTTCTTGTTTTACTTGCATTCAACGTTTAGATGTAGATAAACAACATCACACAGAACTATGCATCTTAAATAAGCGTACTTTGCAGTTCAATATACTGTGTAACCATACAATAATTATATCTCAATACGTATATTACGTTTCATACAATCATCAAAATCATATCACGAGGATTGTATCGAAAGAATTATTGTCCAGACATTAAAATATGAAAGCTTTAACAATTCTAATTTGTCTAAATTAGTAAGGATTTGTGTATCATTATTGATCATCCTTCTTTTGGACGTAAAGATCGTTAACCTCTTCGAGGGTGTTAGGTAATTCTTTCCCAGTTGTTTCGGGTAACCATATAATTAAAACAGTCACTAATACTGACAAAATTCCGAATACGACACCAGGTCCCCAGGGTATATGAGTTCCCTGAAATAAAAAGTAAAGCTGAAATTGGTGATATATACTATCTATAATGAATTTTTCTTTTTTCGTGGTCTAGCAAGACCATGAAAGGTGAACAACAAACCCCAAATTTTTTCAGGATAATGCAAGCTGTCTTGTCCAAAAAATTACATATATTCAAATTAGTATATTTACCAAAACAATGTTTCAAACAGAAAATTATTGAAACCATAATTCTTTTTGATATTAAAATGGATAACACTTCTTCGATTAAACATATGTACTATATTTTTTTTCTTCTAAAAATTAACTCAGTTTGATATGCAAGTCAATATCACATACCTAACACTACATAGAGTTGATGTATAACATAGGATGAGAAATGGGCATACTTTTTTTTAAAGATTAAAAGTAATAAGAAAACCAAAATTAAATATGCTAAGAATATTTACAATACTTTAGCTCAGAATAATGGAATTGTTTAATGGTAAGATATACTAGAAAGAACATTTGTAAGGGCAAAATAATACACTCACGAAAAGTGCTGCGTATGGTGATATCATCGCACCTATTCTGGCTGAGCACGATGCCAGTCCTATACCTAGTGCTCTGAAAGAAGTGAATCGAAAAAAATCTTGATAATGGCGTCAGAAATGAGTAAAAATTACAGTAAGGAAACAGAATATAAATAACATTAGGCCGCTGGATTAAAACGAAGCTAAAGCTGAAACATGAAGATCGTGAACAATGATCATACTCAAAAGCCAGTTAAACAAGACAAATTATGAGTGGACCTCCAGAAACAGGTCCCATGGAGATGTAAGCATCCTAATGATTGGGTAAACAGGAAAATTCCATAGACAAATATCTACTGTTAATAAACTAACAAAACAAATTTTTGAGAAAACTCGAACTGAGATACTGTAAAACATGTAAAATACAATCAATTCTTTAGGAAATCTTTTTCATTTCTAATTAAGTCACTAACTGGTCAAGATTGAAAGAAAATAAAACATATAGAAATACAGAAACAAAAAAAAAAATAATTTTGATCAAAAAATCAATTCCTCTTTACGTTAACCACTCATACAAAACTCAATGGACGGACATTAAACTTATAGCAAAATCAAACTTCTAAATTAATACAGTAAAACTTATTTAAATTTAATCTGGTCACTACTTTCCTAACAAATCCACTGTACTAGACAACATTCTTCATTAGACAATTTTAATCAATTGAATTTACTGAATTTACTGAAAAGGACGTATCATAATAGGAAAAATTTTAGAAAAAAAACTAATCATTTGAAGTAGAGAGTTAAACTGTAAATATTTAGGCTCTATACTAGATATGTAGGATGTGCATGTAACTTAAACATCTAGGCTCTACTGCTAGATTTGTAGGCTGTACAATTAACGTAAATATCTAGGCTCTACTTGTAAATATCGAGCCTGTACTTGGTATATAAATATCTAGGTTCTACTTGTAAACATTTAGCCTGCACTTGTAACGTAAATATCTAGGTTCTACTGTAATGCCTACCTTAGATTAGTTGGGTACACTTCTTCTGTATATAAGAATATTGTCATCCAGGATCCCGATATACCGAACTTTCCCACTAAACTGAAGGCAGTTGCAAATCCTTCCATTACTAGAGAAGCTGTATTTCATATTAATAATTATACTTTGTTTAATTATATAAAAAGGAACTTCATTTCTGAATATAAAGGAACAATTCTTTTTCCAGTGATGACAACGCCCCCCACCCCACCCTCACCCCCGAAAAAAGACTTAAAACGAAATAAAAGTTACAAGTTATTGTCTTTTTGAGTCATTGCCTACCTAATTATCCTTATTCTAATAAGGACCCAATCAAGTTACAAATAAGTCAAGTACCGTAAGTAGAAAGCATTAGGGAAAATGCAAAGAATATGGCTATTTTCATTTCAACTATTACAAAATTGTTTTATTGGATTGATTGATTGTTGCTTTACGTCCCACTCGAGAATTTTACACTCATAAAGACATCACCATATTACGGTGGAGGACTTCAAATTTAAAGCTATACTCGGCACTCAGGGCCATTGAGCAGTGAGGGTTCTTTAAGGTGCCAAGGCTGCCTGACACGGGACCTCAGTATTTTTTTAGGTCTCATTAAAAGACCCGTGAATTTCACTTCTACATGCCGGGCGCTTGGCAAAAGAACAGTAACTACGTATTGTTTACGTCTTAGGTTTGACCAGGCGCGACGAACGAGAATCGAACCCGGGCCTCCCGATCACGAACTGAACGCCTACCTGTTTTATTGGAAAAGCAATATTTACTGTTTATGTAACCACAGGACAAGACTTAAAGGAATACCTGTATTTTTGGCAGTTGACTGCATATAATATTAGATATCATGATTACTGCGTTTATGACAGCAACGTATTGCTGCTTAGTCACGCGGTCACGGCTACTGTCTGTTAGTGGCGAGTGCAGTGAGCTGTGGAAAGCACTGGGCAAAGTTCTAGAGGCGTTCCAGATCAATAGAAAAATGTAAATCAAATTGGAAAAAAAAATAGTGTAAAGACCTTATAATTACTATTAGAGAAAGGTCATTTAGTGCCGAGAAGAAACTATTACCTTTCAGGTACATGAGGACTGCAGAAACCGATAGACACACCCCAGCTATAGCATGAAACATGATACAGGTTTTCTTTCTACCATATCTACACATCATATTATAAAACAGTCAATATAAATACAATAATATAAAGTTATTAGGTATTTACAGTGAAACATCTTTCTAGAAACCACAGATATTACAAATTAATGCCAACAACGTATATTTTTTTTTTTATCCGACAAAAAAAAATCATGAACAAGAGGTGCAACCGCGATCAGCAGATTCACCTCGGTTCTACTGTTATTATTAGATTTTTTCTCTTTTTATTTCCAAGAAACATTTTGACCTAATTTTAGCCCTCTCGTAGACCCAAAGGATTATGAACTAACTGAACCATTCCTGACGATGTTATTCATGTGTTCTACTCTACAAGCATTTCCCATAAGCTTATACCCCCTGATAACTGTTGATGGTACACTGTTATAGACTGGGCATTTATTTTAGCCGACCCTGACGATTCATTACAACTGTATCAGTATGCCCCCGCATACCTGTTTATAGTAAACATATACAGGAACACACTGGGTATCTCCACCAATCCATTTAAGAAGAAATTTAGATACATGTCTCCATTCATTGTTCCTGACGTCAGAAAGAGGCCATAATAAGTGATACTGTTCACAAACCTAAGATCAGAAGAGGAGATGTTGTATTGTTTACATTTATGTCTAGTATACCAGAATAATTGTGCAATATAGAAAGCTACATTTATAACGAGTTATAGGCACTGATAAAATTACTTCATTAGTTTATAACTTTATTTTTTTTTCAGTATTTTCTCTAGATAAAATAATTTAGCTGTATACTGTCCCTATTAACAATCATACCGATGGTAAATAAGCAGAAAAAAATATGAAACTTCTTATCTTGGTGGAAGTGCTTACAATTGATTTACAACATGCTAAACAATTGTAAAATTTTGGCATAGATTTTTTTTTTAATTAATTTATCTAGAACCATAATATTAGATTTTTTTTATAATTGTTACGATACAATTTTATATATATTTATGTACAATATATCACAACTATACCGTACAAGGATATTGGAGATTCATGCCTATAACAAACTTTTATTATCTTTATCCAGCAAATAAATAAAATCTCAACTTGATATAAAAAATAACAGATATAAAAAGGAGCATTATCAATTTGCTTAAGTCATGTTTTACTATATTGTTTATCAGGGCAGGAAAACAGTTATAAACGGTAAGGGCCATCTAATAGCTAAAATGTGTGTCAAACGAATTTACTTCAATTCCTTCGTCAACTTTCCTTTTTGTATGTAGTAAAAGTCTGCTGTGTTTACGCCTCCCAAATAATGCAATACTCAAGAACATGCTTTAAGTACGGTCAATGTTTAAACAGAGGCAGACTACTGATAGATAAGTTGAAGTTACAGGGATTTCAACAACCTCGTTTAATGTCGGCATTTCGTAAAATCTATGGACGTTATAATGATCTTGTTAGCAAATATTACCTACAATTATTTCTGCTTGTGTAATTCATACCAATTGTTTGGCTTTTGCGTTTATGCTAAATTTGACCACGGAATATTATGTATACCTGATCAATACATAGGGATGAGGGCGGTAGTGACCGGTCGGCAGGGAATGCTCACTCCTACTCACACTTTATTCCTCTTGGAATTACCTGTGATTGGTGTTTTATACCTTGTTCACAGATTTGTATGATTTGTAGATTTTTGAGATCGATCAATGTTTGCTATCTTCACCTTTTTTTTCATTTTCCAGTTATCCCCACTAAAGCTGTCATAGGTTTACTACCATGTTCAAATCATTCCTTCAAATACGTGTAAACCCAGTTTGGTTAGTTTCTTTTTAAATAGTAGATTTTACTTCAGTCGTGTTTTACTGTTCTTTATTTTATTTTTATTGTGATTTTTTTTAATTTACCATATGATCCACACAATCACAGAAGTTATGAGTATTCGGCGATTCCTGAATATATCCAAAACCGACAACTTCTCCTCCAGATGTGAAGACAAGTTTATATTTTCTGTCCTTTCATTAACATCATTTATCTGTGAATTAAGAATTTCTGTATTTGTATTGTTTTCAGCATGTCCTTGAACGTTTCCATTCTCTAACGCCAAATTTAGGTCAGCGAGGATAATGGCTGCGTCCTTCCTGTTCCACTTGGCTGCTTTTCTGATCCAGACTTTAGCCTCTTCATACCTGCCGTTTACTACGAGCCATCGAGGGGACTCTTTCAGTATCCTAAAAAAAATCACCAGCTTTATTATCGGCCGCAGGAGCGGCCGATCTATTTGTGGTTGTGTTAGAATGTGCACATGGGGAATTGAGACCTTATTTTTTCATTGCTCCGTTGGAGTAATTCTTCATTGATGACAAACATAAAAGTTACGAATATACGTTTTAAACTTTCGCTTAATACTAAGTCTTTATGGTTGTTATTAGGTTTTAGTTTGTTTTTCATTTCACATCAGTTATTCATTTATTTATGATTTCATAAAAAGTTGTTGTATGAGCTGCTCCCCAACATGGGCATGCATAGGATATAAAAACAAAACGTACTGAGTTTCCGGATTAAAAGATGCCAAGCATAACAAATAAATTGTGAAGGTTTTAATAGTAAGTGAATTTTGTTTTGAATACAATAATTTGCAAATGTTGCAATGATTTCATTTTTGCACTTCATATTTATTTTGATACATCATCGGCTTTATCATGTGACAAAGATTGTGAAGTCCATTGTTTATTTTTATCTTTATTATTAAGGTCTTCCGACTTCCTTCGGAAGACCTTATTGTTTTCCGTCTGTTTTCTATTATTATTAAGGTCTTCCGACTTCCTTCGGAAGACCTTATTGTTTTCCGTCTGTTTTCTATTATTAAGGTCTTCCGTCTTCACGGAAGACCTTATAGTGATTCTACTGTTTCTTATTATTATTATTATTATTATTTTTTCCCCAAAATTTTGTGCAGGCGATTTCTCAAAAACTATTCAGTGGTTTTAAATGAAACTTTCAGGAATTATGCGTCGTCTAATGGACTTTGTTCATCAGAAGGAAAATTTGGAAAACTCGCTTCCGGTGCCAAGTTATTGACAGTTTTCTGATTTTAAAATGAGATTTTGTCCCCCCTTTTTTTCAAAAATGGTTTAAGATATGAACTGGAGACTTGTTAGAGATGATAGGTTATGTCTTCTAGATGCGAATTTAAAAAAGTCGAATTTTTAAACTTTTTTGTTTTTCTATATTTTTCTTTTATTTTAATAAGGTTAATAGAGGCTCTTCTGAAAATGCTTAATATATAATTTATTTTAGAATTGATCAATCCAAACTCTAGATATTCGCATTTCTAAATTTGAAGCGGGTTAAAATGGCGGCTGTCTCCGTAAACTCCGATAAGTAGGTCGGAATTCACGGAGTCAGCCGAGCGTTTGTTCGAATGAAAGTACCATAAGGATCAAAGAATTGTGAAGGAATTGTTGGATTGTCACATCACAATTACGTTGCAATTCTGTTTCGAACTAGGGTTTTAATCCGGGGTTTCCTCAAACGTCTACTATAATTGTTCTTGTCTGTATCTCAAAGTAGAAAAACGACATGACTACAAGAGGAAATACGATAACTACAACCTTTTGTTTTACACCACGGAAAAACTGATCCTAAACCATGGTTATAAGTAATAGCTTTTAAAGAAACTTGCCTGACTAAAGCAATCAATATATAGTAATTATTACGTGACCATTGTTTTTCCCCATGCAGGCTTGTGTCATATTAAATGAACAGAAAAGACAAAAATAAGAAAACCATTTTTTTAAAGATTGTTTAATAAAGTTGATATAAATATTTTTTTTTCTAAAAGATGTTGTTATTGAACATAAATGGTATCAGATTCCTTGACCGTCGCAGGATGAGACATGTTTTTGGGCGAAACATTCCAGTCTTTTCATAAATGTGTAACTAATCGGGATAGTCCACTTTGGGGGTAAACAGGAAAATAAAACTTGTAGAAAATCTTACCTAAATCACTGCTTTAGTGTTACTTATCCATACGATATATAATAAGTACACTATGATAAATATACTTTCTCAAGCTCGATATTCAGGTTATAAGAACATTTTGAAATTTCATTGAAGCTATCACCATTCAATAGAAAATACATTCCAAAGGAAATGCGCGAATATTTACCCGTGACGTTTCGCGCGAAATAATGTATCGTGACCAACCTTTCGTAATAGACAAATGGTCTGATGCAGAAGTATATAGAAGTGCAGAAAAAGATTACATGGACATGCCTGTATATGGAATTACATGAAATAAAAAGTTGAATACATAAAGAATAAAAGAAAGTAAACAGTATCATCAGAGAATGGCTAAAGATATGAATATGAAACTTGCTGAGGTGATAGAGCATCAAATGTAGATATGGTGATTGACCATTATTTTTCGTCGTTCTTACTTCCGGTCGCAAACGGAAGTGAATTCAAAAATGTTAAATTTGCAACTTTTTGTTTTTCAATATTTTTCTCTGGGATTTACAGGGTTAATAGAGAGTCTTCTAGGAGTTTTATGTATGTTTTCATCTTCTTGATTGAAAAAGTTTGCAGAGATTTTTATAAAATTCACTTCCGGTCGAGTGTTTACCTGTCCTCAAAATTAGAATTTGTTCTCACAATATTGCTCGGCAACAGTAAACGACTGAAGTCTAAAACTTTCAGGTCTGATAGTTAGTCATCAGTTTATTTGAATCGTGAGAAAATCTTGTATCGCCGTTACTTCCGGTCGTGACAGGAAGTGATGCAAAAAAGTGAATGGTTAATGGTTAGCTTTCTTGGATTTTCACGCTGAATTTCTTTTATCACTTTTTCAGCGTGAATTTTTTTTTTTATTTTCAGAATCGGACGGAAGACCTCTCATTGCTCGCAATGAGTTTCTAATTATTAAGGTCTTCCGTCTCCAACGGAAGACCTTATTGTTTTCGTTCGGTTTCTTTTTCCCTATTATTATTATTATTATTATTCTTACCGATTTTGTGCAAGCGAGTTCTCGAAAACGTCTTGGTCGATTTTCATGAAATTTTCAGATCTGATAGGTATTGATCTGAACCTTATTGGAAATTTTTTTCGTTGATGACGTCACTTTCTATCTCGAGATATTTTGGATTTTCTGATTTTTAGAGGGTCGGCTTGTTCTGGAAACTCCTCCGAAACGACTTAAGATATTGATTCAAGATTTTCAGTGAAGGTAGAGGAAGGTTGGTAGATTTGCAAGCAGGTGTCCAAATCTCTCTAGCGCAAAAGGCGCCGAAGCTCGGTAGGGCTCAAAAAATGTCTCAGGAACATCTCACAAAATTTTACACCTTTTCTTTCATATCTTCATACCTGTTAAGAATTTGTTAAAACATATAGAAGAAAAGTTGTGCAGAATGACACGACCTTTCATTTGATATAAAAAAAAAAACGGGCTAACCCCTCATATTAGGGGCTCAGAGGGGCCAAAAATCTTTCATCTATAACTCTTTAACGATCAATAATTTGTAATATATTATTGAAGCAAAGATGCTTATCTTGACGATTTACAACAATATATGACAAGATTCTGATCATATGTTACGTAATAAGGGGTCACAAGGGGCCAGAATGCTAAATCTTTGACACTTTATATCTCGAAAAGGGGGAATATTTTGATAAGCATTATTGAACAAAAGATGGTCAGAATAATGTTCTAAATAATATGCACCCTTTCAATTTTTGTGAAACGGCCCCATTAAGGACTTGGAGGGGTGGCCCCTAAATATTTCCATTCAGCATATCTCCACAACGAAAAGAAATCTCTGAATAGTTGTTGAACAAAAAGTCTTCAAAATCACAAGATCTTTCATTTGATATCAAGAAAAGGGGGCTGACCCCTCAAATTAGGGGCTCAGAGGGGCCAAAATTCTTTCACCTCTAACTCTTTAACGATCAATAATTTGTAATACATTACTGAAGCAAAGATGCTTATCTTAACGATTGACAACAATATATGAGAAAATTCTGATCAAATGTTACGTAATAAGGGGTCACAAGGGGCCAGAATGCTAAATCTTTGATGCTTTATATCTCGAAAAGGGGGAATATTTTGATAAGCAATATTGAACAAAAGATGTCAGAATGATGTTCTAAATAATATGCACCCTTTTAATTTTTGTCAAACGGCCCCATTAAGGACTTGGAGGGGTGGCCCCTAAATATTTCCATTCAGCATATCTCCACAACGAAAAGAAATCTCTGAATAGTTGTTGAACAAAAAGTCTTCAAATCACAAGGTCTTTCATTTGATATCAAGAAATGGGGGCTGACCCTTCAAATTAGGGTCTCAGATGGGTCAAGAGTCTTTCATCTATAACTCTTTAACGATCAATAATTTGTAATACATTACTGAAGCAAAGGTGTTTATCTTACCGATTTACAATATATGATAAGATTCTGATCATATGTTACGTAATAAGGGGTCACAAGGGGCCAGAATGCTAAATCTTTGACGCTTTATATCTCAAAAAGGGAGAATATTTTGATAAGCAATACTGAACAAAAGATGGTCAGAATAATGTTCTAAACAATATGCACCCTTTCAATTTTTGTTAATCGGCCCCATTAAGGACTTGGTGGGGTGGCCCCTAAATATTTCCATTCAGCATATCTCCACAACGAAAAGAAATCTCTGAAATTTTCGTGAACAAAACGTTTCCAAAATCACAAGACCTTTCAATTGATATCAAGAAAAAGGAGCTGACCCCTCAAACTAGGGGCTCAGAGGGTCCAAAAGCCTGTCATCTATAGCTCTTTGATAATGTTATATAAATCAAAAGAATGAAATCTAATTAGGGAAGTCTATATATTATTATCTTTCAACAAAGATCATAGTCAAAATCATATCTCATCTTATTGAAAAATCGGACGGAAGACCTACTCGTTGCTCGCAACGAGATCTCATCTAGTTATTATTAAGGTCTTTCGTCTTCACGGAAGACCTTATAGTGATTCTACTGTTTCTTATTATTATTATTATTATTATTATTATTATTTTAGACAAATTTTGTGCACGCAATATCTCGAGAACTATTCAATGGTTTTTCATCAAACTTTCAGGGATAATGCGCTTTCGAATGCCATTGTTACATTTAAAAGAGGTTTGGAGAAATTCGCTTCCGGTTCCAAGTTATGGACATTTTTCTGATTTTGAAATGAAATTTTATCCGCGCGAGATCTAAAGAACGACTATAGATATGAACTGGAGACTTGTTGGAGACCATAGAACATGACTTCTAGATGTGCGGGTTTGCCTTTTCGTGCGTCGGGAATACTTCCGGTCGCTACCGGAAGCGAATTTAAAAAGTCAATATTTTCAACTTTTACGTTTTTCAATATTTTTCTTTGATTTTAATAGGCTTAATAGAGACTCTTATTGTAATGCTTAATATATAATTTGTTTTTAAAATTGTCTACCGGAATACATTTTAAAACTAGATTTTTTAGACAAATCTTGTGCACGCAATATCTCGAGAGCTATTCAATTGTTTTCCATCAAACTTTCAGGGATAATGCGCTATAAAATGCCATTGTTATATTTGAAAGAATTTTGGAAAAATTCGTTTCCGGTTCCAAGTTATGGACATTTTCTGATTTTGAAATGAAATTTTCTCCGCGCGAGATCTAAAGAACGGCTAAAGATATGAATTGAAGAATTGTTGGACAGCATAGAACATGACTTCTAGATGTGCGGGTTTGCCTTTTCGTGAGTTGTGAGTACTTCCGGTCGCTACCGGAAGCAAATTAAAAAAGTCAATTTTTTCAACTTTTACGTTTTTCAATATTTTTCTTTGATTTTAGTAGGGTTATATTCCTTTATAGATACAAGTTACCGAACATAATAGGTATCAGATTCCTTGAGCGTCATATGGCGAGATGTGTTTTGTTGCAAAACATTCAAGTCTTTTCATTAAAGTATTAATAATTGGAATAGTCCACTTTGGGGGTAAAGAGGAATATAAAGTGTGTAAGAAAACTTAGCGCTGCCTTTATGTTACTTGCCCGTATACGATATGTTATATGTAAGTGTGATAAATAAACATTCTTAGGCTCGAAAATCAGGCTATAGCAATATATATTTTTTTTAAATTTCATTGAAGCTATCACGTACACTTATTCAATTGAAGACACATTCCAAAGAAAAGGCGCGAAGAATTACTCGTGACGTTTGGCGCGAAGTAATGTATCTTGAACCGCCTTTCACAAATGGTCTGATGCACTAGTGTAGAAGTACAGAAAAAGATTACACGGACATGTCTGTATTTGGAATTGCATAGAATAGAAAGTTGAATGCATAAAGAAAAAAGGAAGTAAATACAATAGTTTTTTTTTTAGTTTTTATCTGTAACAGATTATTTTCTCTGCTATCAGTTATTGTTAAAACTCAAGTAACAAATCCGATGTAAATCTGCTAGTACTTGCACAAAATTTAGCTGGCTAGGTTTCATCCTATAATTCCGCACTATAAGAAAAAAAAATTAACCTGCCTGACACTCGTTACTTCAGGGAATGAGTGCAAGGTAAACATCGATGATGGCTGGTACTTTGTGCTAGTGCAGTGGTTTCAATATTAAAGAACAAGGTTCACTTAGGGCCTTTTTTGACCCTGTGAATTTCAGAAAAACTGAAACTGCTTGGTTTTAGTTGACAATGCATTAAATATCATTTAGACCTTTGATGACTGCGTATCTATCAAAAATGACGTAATTTTCTGGCTAGCCTATGCATTAAGACGTCATGGCTAGCCTATGCATTAAGACGTCATGAAATGCGTCATTTTCCTCGTATCCTGAAAATTTCTACAAAACAGCCAATTTTTAAAGCTATTTTTCGATATTTAATATAGGACGTGACCTCTGATCTTAAATATGCAACTATTAAATGATAGAACTATTTCTGTGGATTACAAAACCTGTTTTATTTTTTAGATCAGAGGATGCGTTCATTTTATTTCTCCTCTTTCTTTTTTAAACTAAAACTTGCATCATTTTATTGCATCTCCTTCGCTGTTTTGAAATATGTTAGATTCCACCGGAAATAAAACGTCAACTTCCGGTCTATTGCTCGGCAACAGTAAACGACTGAAGTTTAAAACTTTCAGGACTGATAGTCAGTCATCAGTTTATTTGAATCGTGAAAAATCTTGTATCGCCGTCACTTCTGGTAGTGACAGAAAGTGATGCAAAATAGGGAATGGTTAATGGTTAGCATGTTGGATTTTCAGGCTGACGACCAGGGTTAAATCTCCAGAGTGTCTGAATTTCTTTTATCACTTTTTCAGCTTGAGTTATCTTTTTACCAGAATCGGACGGAAGACCTCTCATTGCTCGCAATGAGTTTCTAGTTATTATTATTATTCTTTTTTCATAGTACGGCCGATATCTCAGCTGTGAGTGGACGGATTTGAAAGATTTTTTCAGGGAAGATGCATCGTGAGAATATCTCCAGACGTGTTTTTCATTTTTTGAAAAATCACTTCCGTTCGCGATTTTTGGGGAAATTTGTTTTTTTTAAATGAAATTTTGTCCGTTAATTTTCTCGAGAACGGCTAAAGATATGAAATTGAAACTCACTGACGTGATAGAGCATCAAATGGAGATATGGTGATCGACCTTTATTTTTCGTCGTTCGGACTTCCGGTCGCGAACGGAAGTGAATTCAAAAATGTTAAATTTGAAACTTTTTGGTTTTTCAATATTTTTCTTTGATATTTACAGGGTTAATAGAGAGTCTTTTAAGAGTTCTATGTATGTTTTCATCACTTTGATTGATGCATTTATTGCAAAGATATGACCGATTCAAACTTTCTCGTATGTTGCGCGTTCGAATCCTGCTTGGACGGGAGATTGTTTCTCTCTTTTTTCAGTTGAAAATAATATTTTTCTCCGTGAAGACATGTATGATAGTTTTTGCTTATTTTTTAAAGCTTTGTTTACAGAGATTCTGCAGAAATCCTTTGATAATTATGATCTATGTTGAAAGACTGTGTTACATAAACGTAAACGAAAAATACCTTCAATAAAGTATGAAATGAAGTGAGATAGCATAGCGTTCTGGAGAAGAGCTCGGTCGGAAGACCACTTGTTGCCCTAGCAACAAGAAAAGCATCTAGTTATTATTATTTTTTTTTTTTGGTCACCATTTATAGATTTTCATAATAAGTAATTTTCGATATTTTTTGCATAAGCCATTGAGTCGAATGATTTTATTGTGATACTATCTTTCACCGCGAGCGATCCTATTTTTATTTCCATGATTTATTTATTTTGATTGATCACACTGCAAATCAAAGTTTAAAAAAATGAACAGAAAAAGTAAAGCAATGGAACAGTTTGCAAAATAATGTACCAAATACGTGTAATTTTTCTATTTTGATTTTTTTTTTCGGATTCTCTTTTGTGAAAATTCTTCTAAATTCTAAAATAATATATTTTTGCAGCCGATTTGATGCTTTGCATCAATTTAACTTGTTTCTGATTGTCATGAGCACAGAAAGCTGCTGTGATGGTATTCCTTTATAAATATTTTCTCTTACTTCAAAAGAATGACCAACCACTGTCGTTGGTAATAAGTTTATGAAAGATTTTATCTTGGAGAGTCGGAACATGTATGGTCAGTGTTTGGCGTCATGTGACGCGAGGCTTTCATATCTGTGAATAATTTCCATTATATATTAGTTGCATGAATATGTTGGATTACCATCGTGTTTGAGAAAGAGGATTTATAGTTATAAAACCAACCATCGTATTCACTAAGGAGGAATAAATTTACATGAAACGAACCACCATGGTTCAGAAAGAAGAATAAAGTTTTATTAAACTAACCATCCTATTCTAAAAATTATGAAATAAATGCTTTTTAAAAGAACCGTCACGTTTCAAAGATGGGAATAATCTCTGTAAACCGAATTATCGCGTTCTATAAAGAGGAAAGAATAAACTTGTATAAAACGAACCATCGTGTTCCAAGACTGTGAACTCCTACTAGTCCCGCAGTCAGCATTGTGTAGCGCCAGGAGACGCTCCTAAGGAGGTAGGCGATCAGTGCTATAGAGGATATGGAGAACGTCCACATAAGGTTGCCCACAAAGCTCACAAACCCTCTACTTTCTGCAGGAAACAGCTCTACTTGTATTGTGGCTAATACTAAACCAAATCCCTGACAATAAATAAATATAAAGCTAGAAATATGAAAAGTGTCTTTTATAATCGATACCATCTAGAATATTCGAATGTCGGTGTTTTTTTTTTAATGTTGAAATTAAGTACCATGAATTAGTTCAAAAATTGAATTTATATATAAGATTTATATATATATAATGAAAACTTAATATATGCTTTTGTATTCTCCTCTCCAAACAATCTTTAATTTTACCTGGGCGAAGGCCCCGGTCAGTAGTCTGAGAATGACAAATCCAAAGAACCACGGAACCACAGCAGTCAGTATAAAACACACCGATGTACCGATAAACGTAGTGTAAGTTACCACCAAACGACCGTATTTGTCAGACAGCGCTGTAAACAAACTTGCACCGATCATCTGCCCAACGGCCACCATGGTAGACGGCATACTTCCCAGGCCTTCCGACTGGCACACCAAATTCCACTGTAATAATACCGAAGAATGAATTATAGCAGTTCCATTGATAGACTGAAATTTCTGAATCACTTGAATATAGTAACGCACTTGTGAGGGAGCAGATGAATGTAAGTGAAGTGACCAAAGTAACCAAACAAAGTAACAGAATTATACCGGGATCAATGTCATATGCTGGACTTAATGTAAGAGATTTGTGCTCCCTTGCGAGGGGATGTTCCGCTTGCGTTGACCGTGTACGGTGTGTTTCTGAATGAAATATGTCCGTATTGTCTGATCTCAAAGCTGACGAGGCAAAACCCCGGAAAATTATATTATTACATTTGATATTTTTGGTTCTGAGTTAAACAGTAAAAATAATAATAAAAGTCTTAAAATTCTCTATTCCATACCTCTGATATCGTGGTTTCACGTCCAAAAAAATCATATCCATCTGTACAGGGTAAGATGTCTTGTGTCACAACACCAGACCTGTTTGTCTCGAGAATGACGTCACATTGACGTGTATACATCGTGACGTTTTGCGATCCATTAGTCTCTCTATAATAATTTGTCAAAAGATCACTTGGAAACTTGCACTGGAAGTCTGGTATATAACCTTCGAAAAAGCATAAACACAGCATTAACGCTCTGTGGGTCATTTTTTGAGTCTTGAAACACAGCGAATACTTAACAGTTACACGGCATAAATGCTCTCTTGTAAACCTATGTTTATTGACCTCTAGTGCAACAGTTCTATAGCCTAAAAAAGACACTTTTTATGCCCCCATAATCTAGGATTCTGGGGCATATAGTTTTTACCCTGTCCGTCCGTCTGTCTTCTGTCTATCTATCTATCTGTCCGTCTAGCTGTCTAGCTGTTTGTCCGCAAAAACTTTAACCTTGCCTATTACTTTTGATTGGTTGGAGCTATGGTATTCATATTTCACATGTGTAATCCATGTGACAAGAACTTTCTTTGTTTTTGTTTTTTTTTTTACTTTTTGACCTTGACCTTGGAGTTTGACCCACTTTTGCTAAATTTTATCAGACCTTAACTTTGGTCTTTTGAAAAGATCGTATAAGGGCTTTCAAACTTCACAAGTGTATACCTTGTGACAAGGCCTTCCTTCATATACCAACAACTTTGACTGTTTGACCCTGACCTGAAGTTTGACCTACTATTGAAAAAACTTTAACCTTGGTTAAAACTTTTGAACAATTGGTGCTAGGGCTTTCATACATCACATGTGTAGTCCTTCTGTCAAGACCTTTTTATGGATACCAAAAACTTTGACCCTTGGCCTTCACCATGGAGTTTGAAGTATTTTGGAAAAGAAAACTTTAACCTTAACCATAACTTTTAAACAGTTTGGTGTTAGGACTTTCATAATTCACATGCGTATCCCATGTGCCAAGACCTTTTTATGGATATCAACAACTTTGACCCTTGACCTTCAACTTGGACACTTGAAATACTTTTGAAAAACTTTAACCTTGGCCCTAAATTTTAAATAGTTGGTGTTAGGGCTTTCATTCTTCACATGTGTATTCCTTGTGACAAGTCTTTCCTTTAGATACCAACAATTTTTACCCTTTGACTTTGACCTTGGAGTTTGACATACTTAAAAAAACATTGAACCTTGGTCATAACTTTTGAACAATCGGTACTAGGGCTTTCATGTTTCACATGTGTATTCCTTGTGACCTTCCTTTGGATATCAACATTTTTTGGAGTTTGACCTATTCTAAAAAAAACTTTAACATTTGAATACTTGGTTCTAAGGCTTTCATATTTCATGTACATATGTATCATCAATCGAAACTTCTCGAGCCTTTCCGACAAGAGGAAAAACAACCTCGAATGTGTTAAGTAGGCGTCCATGACACCCCCCCCCCCCTTTTCATAAACTTTGAAATAAATGTAGGGAGACCTCTTATCTGTAGAGTTTGGAGCTCAACTTAATTGAATGTAAAAATATTACCTAAAATATACTACTGGAGTGGCTTTTAACTCTGTCGTTCCAGTACTATAATAAATAGGAAGCAGCTCCATTTAAACCTATCATGAACTGAGCGACCTTCATTGACATATCTTTTTAAATTAAGTATGACTTACCTATAAATACATAAATGACAAGAGGATAAGCAGCAGATGGACTGCATATCAGAGTGTAGACGTATTGTAAAATCTGAAAACGGCCATATTTTCCGAGCGACCGGAGAGTGTCGTCCACATCCATCGCACGACCTAATGTGATTGTTGTTTTTATTGCAAGGTTAGACGGATATGTTTTCAATTAAATAATTTATTATTCATGAGCATGCTTGCATCTGTGATAGTCAATACATTAAAAATGATTGGCCTCAATTATCATAAAAAGTAACCCTGCTTTTATATCCGAGGTGAAAGTTTTAATCTCAGGTTGTTATGTTATACATTTAGAAATATAAGTTTAACCCTTTTTTCTTTCCTCCGTTTTTTTTAATGTATATGGTTCCTTTACTGTTTTGCTTTTATTTAATTTTGGTTTATTTCTTTATTTATTCATTTATTTATTCCTTTTTATTGGTAATAGGGGTGGTTCCGGAAAAAAAAAACTGTCCAGATAGAATTGATACATTTTTAAAGATAGGGAGACATGTTATAATTTAGGCATGCTACATCCGTGTGCACACCTGTAACTTGTAGTGCATAAAGATACTACTCACATGCTTTAAATGAAAAGCGTGAAACGAAAAATATAAATAGGAACAACATAAAGAATGGATATTTATCCTGTCTCTCACTGTAGAAATGTCAGCAAACTGTATACTCGCTGCTGACCCCCATGCTTTTTTTTTATTTTGTTATTTATTTTTTACAATTCATATGTGTTGAATTTTGAATATGGAGAGTAATTGGTATTTTTTAATGTTTTTAATGTTTTTAATGTTTTAGTATTTTATCTCTTTTTTTATTACGTGTAACAGCAACAAGTTCTATTTAATCCTACATTTGATTTGCAAGTTATCCAAAATGTTAATTCTTTAAGAAAATGTGGCACTTAAAGTATTTTTTCAGTATCGCTTTTATCTTACCGAGGACTAGTTTTTATTTTAAGATTGTTACGAGCAAACCTGTTAAAAATGTATCTCAAAGAAATATAAATTTTTATCCATGTATCGCTTTTGCGATGAGGGATCCCCCCCCAAATAGTTGCGTTAGGCTTAGCAGTTAAGTTGGTGGTGCAAGATCCTTTGACCATTTAGGGAAGTCTGGCCACTTTCAACAATGACTTCTCACATTATACTACAAGCATATAACTTACCATAAATTTTCGTTGTAGATCTACAAGTATCACTATCGCCGTACACAGAATTAGATTCATGATTCGACCGTCCATATTCTTGCAGTATAACAACTCCCTGTCAAAAGTTTATTTTCATCATTATCGGCTGCAGGTGCGGCCGATCTATTAGTGGTTGTGTTAGAAAGTGCACATGGGGAAATGAGACGTTATTTCTATTTTAATAATAATTCATTAATGATAACATATTTACACACTGAATTGTCGACGGATATTTCCGATATTTCCCGATCATGACAAGGAGCACACGGCGGGTGTGACCGGTCGGCAGGGGATGCTCACTCCTCCATGGCACCTGATCCCACCTCTGATGTTTAGAGGTCCGTGTTTGCTCTGCTCTTATTTTGTATTGTTTATTGGACTTTAGACCTCGAATACTGTTCGTTATCTCCATATATTTCATGTATGAAACTATGAGGAAACTATTTTTAAAACTTGCATTACACAATCTTCATTGCTGTTATAATATTTCACTTTCATTTCTCTTCAGATAATTAATAATTTATAATTATATAAAACGGGTTTACAATAGGTACTCCCCAGCATGGGAATGTGTAAGATATGAATACTAATTGTTATGATTTTCCGTAAGATAATTACAGTGGTAAAAGTGTTGAATAAAAATAAATCTATTAAAACATGTTTCGAATAATGACTCATGGATTTTTTACACTTTGAATTTATTGCGTTATCCACCCCGTCGTAAAGCATAGTCTGAAGAAATCATCGGCATTATCACGTGACAAACATCCAGGGTATCAGCACGTGGTTCATCTGTAACTGACTATAAATAGACCTACATCTTTATTTTGATGACATTTTTATTATTTATCGCTGATTCTTGTATCGATGAAACAATTTGATAAACATACGGACTGAACTTCTATTTATCTTGCAATATGTTTAAAGACTTTTATTGAAGGCAGTGTAAAATAAAAATATAACTCCTTAGCTTTGAATATCCTGTGCTTTCCTTGTACAACGTATGCTTTCTTGTGAAAGTTCTTTTTACCATGCTTTTTTTTTTGTTTGCGGCTGATTTGATGCTTTGCATCAATTTATTTGTTGAACTCATTTAAACATGTCATACTGGGCATTTAGGTAAAGATAACACAGTTTTTCTTATGAATATATGATTGCGAAAGCGTCCTTGAGTTCATGATTTCAGTGTTTTAAAGAAATTATGCCCTTATTTTTCTGCTACACATGTTTAAAATTGGTTACTCAAAGAGGAAAATTCACAAGTTTTATCTCCAAGACGGCGGTCAGGGGAAATTAACTCGGAGGGGAAATACGTCATACGAAATATTATCTATATCATCCAATAACTTTGTTTAGATGGAAGGAAAAGACAATTTACTCTATGAACAAACAACTTCGTATATTACATACGTTGTACATGTATGTATGTAAGTTTATTCTTTATGGTGACAATACATTCACCTTTAATTATCAGATAAAAAATATTTTAATCCCTAAATTTTAGGGATGGCAATCGAATACAGAATTGCCAATCTGTTAACCGTAAGACGATCCGACCGATTAATCGGTTAACCGTAACAAAATGCTCTTTTCCGGACATTGTTTTTAAAATTAATTCTATTCATATCCCCCTCCCAATAAATTAATATATATATATAAATAAAAAAAGAAAAGAAAAATAGAAAAATATTTAGTAATATTCTGTTTATGCTTGATCTGTATATTTTACGCATTTTAATTCAATTTCGAAAGGAAAACCATAAAATATACACGAGATACATGTATCAAGGACATTGATAACTTTCTGACGACCCCCAAACATTACATACGGTTGTCATCATAAACAGAAACAAAGTTTAAGGAGGTTTGATCCTGCTATCAAAAGTATTGAGAATTTTTTATCAAGTATATTTTTAGAATCTACACATATAGCTCAATTATATCATGAGTTTTTTCATTGAATATAGTTTGTTTTGCATTGTAGAATCCAAATTTATTATAAGAACTAAAACATTACGCAGATTTTTTTTTAATAGAGGTCAAGACAAAAATCTGCTCAAAAGCTCAGGAACGACCTTTTTAAACTATTACTTAATTTACAATGTTTGCATAGAAATATAAATTGGCAGAACTGCAAAAGATACAAAATGTAATCAGTTCAAAATACACAACGGTGATTTAATTATTATCATTAAAGAAACAGAGGACAAGCTGGGATGATGTTTAAACAGCAATTAACACTTCACAAATTGACCAATTACCCCAACACACCCGTCCGAGGAGTCCTAATGAATTATATCTAAATACATGTATGCAAAAAATGTTATAACGTATCAACATTCATAGATTTTTTTTAAAATTGCAAATAGAATTTTAAGGATATTTACACATATTTTCATTTTTTCCGACTAACCGATTACAGATTTCCTAACCGATTACCATCGTTGCGACCGATTAATTGGTTAACCGGTTACAAACTGCCATCCCTACTAAATTTCTATTTTTTCTTGTATTATGTTATAATCTAATATCTAATCTAATATAAGACAAAGTGGTTCAGTGACTTATAGCCAGGTATCCTCTGTAAAGCTGCAGTTCCACTTTCTGTTGTTCCCTGCTGATTGCTAAAAAATTTGTCAACATAACATAGTTATTCTTGAGAGGGACGTTGAACAACAAACAAAACAACATAGTTCAATTTCTATTCATGTGCCTAAATTTCATTAGTAAAGCGACAGCCTTTGCACTGGATTACTTCGGCTGTATACTGTTCATGCAGGAGAGCTTACTCTTGACCTTTCCATTGTAACACGCCAGCGATTCTTATCTCATTAATTATGGGCAAAAATCGGAGAACAGCTTCGGCTAGTGTTTTTTGTTCACTATTTTCTGTTCTGTCTTGATAACAGAAGCTTTAAGAATTTATTTTGTATGAAAAAGTTACTTATAATACTAGACAGAAAATGCAGATAAATAAAATTGTGTCACGTGTTCTTTAAGATCCACATGAATTAGTGATAAGTTAATAGCGAGCACAGCGAAGCGCCGCTCTTCAAGCAACACCTGGGCGAAGAGAAAATTTGGACCTTGCACATTTATCCAAATAATCTTTTTCCGCAGTAGCCTGCGATTTGTATTTCGCCGCAAACATCGTTAAGTAGCAACAAAAGTTCCACAAAAATTAAATCGCATTGATTTAATGGATATTGCAGAAACAAACATTCTTCATTAAAACTAGCACTGTTTAGGCTTCGATCTGGTAATGCAACATATATACGACATCATGTGACTTCAGAGTCTAGACGTACAAAATGTCAGATGCGGTTGGAGGACACGGATGTAAATTAAAACTGAATGTGTATCTGCGCTCGCAATACTTGTCGTTTCTTCAACATATTTTTGAGATATATCCAGAAACACAAACTACATAGACGACTTTGCAGTGTTAGAAATTTCATTTTGAGATTTAATTGGTAATAAATGGTATTCACATATGTATAATACTCCAAACATAGATATTGATCGTGAATGTCATATTCTTACATTTTCTTGTACGAGACAGGTGTCCCATAATTTATTTCAAACCTGTAGTTTTAATGACAGACATTTGTTACATGCTTTATATTTAACATCTAGCACAATCATGCCACATGTACTTTATATGCTACAATACACACATGTGTTAGAAATATTAACAAGAGGCCTATTTGCCACAACGCTCACCTGAGTCAGTATGGCCTTGCTGTTCTTCATCAGCAGATTTCCTTTCCTATATATTCATATGTAAAGCTTTGGTCGCCTGTCATGATTTGATACACTACCTGAGGATGCTTCCATATCAATATGACTCATCATGGCTTTGTTGTTCTTGAGAAGAAGATTTTTAAATATATTTTCTATATATGTTCTTT